ACCAGTTCAAGTTCAACTAGAATGTGGCTTTTACTCCCAGAGAGGGTGATAGGCCCGTAGAACGGCGCTGATGTTGAGTCGCAGTTGAGTCGCAATTCGAACCATTCGTTCAACGAACACTGGGAACCGGCTGCAAAACTGTGCCATCCCTGTCTACTGCAGTACAATATCATCGGAAAGTACAAAACACTGGTAGACGATTCGACGTTAGCTCTCCATTTGGCTGGAGTGAGTGAGGTCAACTTTCCCATTTCGTACAAAACATCTGGCACCAGCGAACGGTTACGAAAGTATTTCAGTGACATTCCACTACCAATTATTAAAAGCTTGTACAAATTGTACGAAGATGATTTCCGACTGTTCGATTATGGTTTGGACGATATTTTGGGTTTTGAGCTCGGTTAAACTCTCAGAAGTCAATTAATTTTACAATTAGTACAACAGAAAGAATAAAACGACTAATCAAAACTAGAACCAGTACTAACTACTTAGTAGAGATAATGATAATGGTACCAGGTACCGGGTTTCATTATTTTTAGTTGACTAGAAGACTTACTCTACCAGATTTTACAATAAATTTTAACCAACTATACAGACATTCGATATGACAATACTAGGGCATAGATTAGTTGTTAGATGATGTTGAACACATACAGCTACATACGAGCAAGACAACGTCCAAAATTTTATACTCAAAGTGTACAATTAGTTCTAACATTCAAAATTTAAACCGTACATGATTTTTAGATGTGATTTTTTGCGTTGATATGTACTTATCAAATTTGTTGGAGTTAACTCTGTGATGACAGCCTAACCTGAGCAATAAATGTGGCTTTACAAAAAAAAAAAAAAAAAAAAAAAAAAAAAAAATATCAACTTAAATTTTTGAGGTTTTGGCAGGCCAGGAACCACTGTGCAGTGGTAGAAAGGGCACTAATAAGTGATGCATTACCTCGTTTAAAAACTTGTTTCCAGCAAAAGAAAAAGCACACTAAACAAACAAAACAAATCCCTAAAAAAGTCTTAGCTTCTGTGAATTTTTCTTACGGATCCTTATTTCTCCAGAACTCAATCAATTCTATAGATCTACGGAAAATTTAGTAGAACCGACATCACTGACTTCCATCTGTTTTGTTTTAATTCAATACCGCTGACGCGTTGACAGAACGAGGGAAAAGCAACTGGTGAAAAAATGGCATGAACGAGGGATGCTCTAGTTGCACATCAATGCTTGGGAATGTAGATGATAGATGGTGCTAGTGTGCATGCAAAATACGCTTGACGATATTTTTTGAAGAATTCTCTTCTAAGAGTTATGTCAGTTAGGTGTCTGTGCTAATAGGTTGTACTTTATTGTCTGAAAGTTTGAAAAAAAAAATCGGTCCGCTAGGTCTCTACAACTCTACAGCGTTATTTCCGTGATGCAATTTGATGTGGGACACCCTTTACAGCAAATTTTTGAAACTCTGAACAAACGACTCCTTGAAAATATCTTAATTATCTTCAATAAACTAATCAATAAATGTACAATCCATTTCTGATAGAATAGTTTTACCTTTTTTTTCCGCTTCACCGACACAGGTGTTGGTCGCAGCCTCCGGGATGCCACGTGATGTTTTTAGTTTTGACATACCTCACATCACTGAAGACATGGAAGCCGCAACACGCAAAATGAAGAACTCATTCGCCGCTGGTCCTGACGGAATTCCCTCGTCAGTTTTAAAACGATGTGCAGTCAACTTCTGCCTTCCACTTGCGCGACTTTTTAATTTCTCGGCACAGCAAAGTAAATTCCCCTCCCGCTGGAAGCTTTCCTATCTGTTTCCAATTCACAAAAAAGGAGACAAACGGAATGTCGCTAATTATCGTGGGATTTCCTCCATGTGCGCCTGCTCTAAACTTTTCGAGATTATTGTAAATGATGCTCTGTTTATGTGCTGTAAAAATTATATCGATACGGACCAACATGGTTTTTACCCCAAGCGATCGGTTTCCACGAACCTGGTGCAGTTTACCTCTGACTGTCTGCGAAGCTTGGATGCTGGATGGCAAGTTGATGCTGCATACATGGACTTAAAAGCCGCTTTCTGACAGGGTGGATCATGAAATCCTGCTTGCTAAGTTGGAGATCTTAGGTGTCTCGTCTACGGCTGTGAAATGGTTCAGATCGTACTTAGTAAATCGCTCTGTACGAGTCAAGATTGGTGCGACGGAATCAAATGTTTTCTCAAACAACTCGGGAGTCCCGCAAGGCAGCAACCTGGGACCTCTGCTGTTTTCGATCTTTTTTAACGACATCGCTCTGTTGTTACCATCTGGATGTCGTCTTTTCTACGCAGATGACGCCAAAATCTACAAAATTATCAAAAGCCTCTCGGACTGTTGGGATCTCCAGCATATGCTATGTATTTTCGCTGACGAGAAATTTGATGGGCCCGAGCATCGAAAAATGCAACGTCATCTCCTATCACCGTAAAAACGAACCAATTATGTTTGACTATGTGCTCTTTGGACGTTGCATTGTCCATGTAGAACAAATAAAGGATCTCGGTGTTACTCTGGACTGCGGGCTCACCTTCAAAATCCATTATAACGACATCATTTCCCGAGCCAATCGCCAACTGGGTTTTATTTTCAAAATTGCTGATGAGTTCCGGGACCCGTTATGCCTCAGATCACTTTACTGCTCACTTGTGCGGCCTATATTAGAATCAAGTGCAGTTGTATGGTGCCCTTTCCAAGCCACTTGGATCGCTAGAATCGAATCTGTTCAACGAAAGTTTGTGAGATATGCTCTTCGTTTCTTGAACTGGCGTGACTCATCGAACCTGCCACCGTACGAGGAGCGTTGCCGTCTTCTGGGCATCGAACCGCTAGTGGTGCGACGGACGGTCGCTCAAGCTATGTTTGCTGGAAAGTTTCTCACGGGTGACATCGACTGTCCAACGTTGCTGGCCCAGCTAAATATGTATGCTCCTGAGAGACCTCTTCGTCAACGCGAATTTCCGTTTTTGGAGCCACGAGGCAGAAATTATACGCAGAATGAGCCAATTCGTGCAATCAGCCGACAATTTAACTACTTTTATTGCGAATTTGACTTTAACGTCTCAGCAAATGTGTTTCGTCACCGGTTACTTGACCGTTTTCGTTTCGTTGACCATAACTAGATTAAGTTTTATTCATTAAGACATTAATTGTCAGTTGAATTATTAAATAAACAAATAAACAAACAAATAAACAAAAAAAATAACAAAATTATGTTTGTTTAAAAAAATGATCAGCTGGATTTTAGTGAAGTTCATTTTTTAATTGTATTTTTGTTTTAATCGGAGTCGGAGTCGGAGTCAGAATCGAAGTCGTTTTTTTTTAATTCAGAGGAGTCGGAGTCGGTCGATTTAGACTAGTGATGTACCGAATATTAAGACACCACAGTATTCGGCCGAAAATGAAGCTTTGCAGCCTCCCAATTTTACTCAAAAACCTTGCCAGCCACTTCTTCTTTCCTTTATTTAAGATCGGTCTCTGTTCCGAAATCTACTGCCAATAATCGACGGATATCGATTGCCATCCATTGACGCCAATCGAATGTGCAGGGAGGCAACTTCCACACCTGCGTAGGATATCGCACCCATTCAAACACACATGGGCCGGGACCAACGGCTTTACTTCCCTTTCGAAGGAAATTGCCAGCCACTTGTTTCGGAGGAAATGGCCGAATAACAGTTTGGTGCAAATGTCGAATACCTGGCCGAATAGAACTATTCGGTGCATGAAATGAAATGTATGATTCTATTCCAGCTTTGCATAACAAGATTGCAGAATTTTTAATGTTTCATCGCATAACCAGATTCTGTAATGTGGTCGTCGGTAGGGTTTTAAAATATTTTTTGTAGAATTTATGCTAGCTAACTTTTCGAACACATCTAGATAGAGCTGGAATTAGGGCGTAACAAATTTTGTAAAAAATTACTTTTCTCGATGATTTCTCGAAAGTCTTGCCTCTCCCTGGAAAATCGACATCACCATCGAGTAGAGGAAGACTTCTCCTACCCGATGGATATGTTGGTTTGTGTTGGAGTGCCTTGAATTCCTAGAAATCAACGAGAGAAATCATTTTTTACAAAGGCTGTTATGTCCTAATTCTAGCTCTATCTATATATTACGTTTTTCTCTGGATCTAGAAAATCATCTTCAGAAGGTTTTACACGAAAATATTAATTCTGGAAAAAATACTTGTTCGCTTCATTCCGTTGTAACAGCTGCCATTACATTTACTGTAAGTAACATACACAGAGGATGTAAGAAATCTTAACTTACATTCAATGTAGATGCCGTTTGTTTTTCGTGTGCTATTTTGACACCACGTCTTCAATGCTTTTAATTTTCTTGCACTCAGCACTTATCAACCTCAAACATTTTTTAACACTTTTCTTAGACTTTCGAGATAGTTGTGGAGATTTGGCAGTGATCAAATAGTTAGGTTTCCAATTTTATATATTCGAAGTTATTAAAATTAATTATTAGTTCCAATGTTAAAAATTGTGAGTTACCCAAATCGGGCGTATACTGATTTTTTTTTTATTCGCCATTATATAGTGACTAATTAGTTAAAATTAATGGGCTGCTAGTTCAATAGCTCACCAGCTCAACAAACTAGCACGAATTTCAGTTGCTCCTGAAATCTCATGCTGGTAGACGCTGATGCTCTGTTTACATTATGCTGGCTACTTTGTTGTACAGTGCTAGCACATATGTTAACACCACATAAGCCTGTGCATAAAATTGACCGCTCTAGCTCCCGGTAGAATAAGAAAGTTCAGGCAAAACATATTTCTTCTCCCCGAAGACATCACAGGTAGGTATGTACATCGAATGCTTGGTTTAAACTTTGTGTCCGTTATCTGACCGCTGGATACCATTGGCACAACTTTCACCTGTGCACTTTTATGCAGATGCACACTACGCACACAACTAGTGATGGAAAGTAACGACAGACTCACCTCCATCTCGGCAGCAGCGCTCGGCAAACTCCCTTTCGCACTGGCAGCTTACATTTATCGTCCTTAACTCCACTTTCCACTCGGTTACTGGTTTGCAGCAGAGGAGCCGATCCTTCGCGCTTTTGGTACGAATGTTCTTCGTCAAACTCATCATAATCACTTAGATATTCCAACATTTTGTAGAACATCTTGCCACCGTCTTTCGTGAACTGATCCCACATATCGATTGGCTTAGCTTCACTGACACTGATGGTGGTGGCCATCATCAGGAACGACACCGCCACCGCAAGAACCATCCACCGGGCACTGTTTGAAAGCTGCATGGTTTTAATTTTTTCTGAATTCTTCCAATATTGCACTCAACACTTTTTTCACTTTCCTTTTCTTTCGTTCGACTTGAACTTCCAATTGATCGGTTCAACTTAACTTTGAATACTGTTGACTTCGGACTGCTGCTACGCGATCTTATATTCATTCCATCGACTGCCACCCGAAGTCACATCGGTTTTCCCGCGCGCTCTCGCCTGCTTTGCGTGATGATCGGAAGGCGATCTTTCTCACTCTCTTGATCATGGCATGGTGGTGCATATAATCATGGTGACGATCGGCATACCTGTTCGCATCTATGCACAATAATGCGTTTCTCTACCTCGTCGTTCATCGAGGACCGTTTCATGGGGGCGGTTTGTGTGTGTGTGTGTGTGTGTTTTTTTTTCAATGATAAGTGCATCTCGAACTTTCATGTTTCGAGAGCACTCTTTGGAATAAGGTGTAGAAAAAGAGTAGCTCAATTTGCTGTATAGTCCATTCGGTGAACAGTTATCCGACCAATTATTCTAAATCACATTACTCAACTCGAAACTTTCCAACGCAATTTGCCCTTCTGAAAATTTCCTTCAATTACCATGTGGCAGCATTCGTTCGATTTAGATTTCATAACACCCAGTTCCTGCACGGTGCATTTTAACCGTTCAACTACAAGCAGATACCCATCGACAAGTTGCATGGAAAACTAATCGCCAAACGTAAGAGTAAGCCAAACACACAATACTACCTAAAGCACAAAAAATAACTAAGCTACAAACGTAAACAAACCCAACAACTCTACACCATGTCACCATGCATTTGACGGCCATTCAGAAGCCAATTAGGTACGGGGAAACCCTCCGTCCTGCTACCCCACCCCTTGGAACCATGTCGCAACAGAGCGAGCGATGTCGTCATCGATCGAAGTTTTACAGTTTCCATTTTATTTTTAAATCCGACCAAAGTGTAACCAAAGATCTTGGATCTCCACCGCACCCGTCCCGACCCACTGCACTGGGCGCCCGGGCGAGCAACTTCGAAACTCGTGGCCTACGTGCGCAGTGCCATTGACCGCGCTTGCCCGCTTGGCTCAATGGGCGCACACCGTTGTTGATCTCCATCTCGCACAGATCGGCCGCGGGTGCACGGGGGTCTCAAAGAGATATGATCGATCGTGCGGAAAACCACCGTGAAATTGCATCGGAAATTGGTGAAATAAATCTGGAAAGTTTGTTTTCCTGACCACTGCTGCCGGCTGGGTGGGATATGGTGTAACAAGATGAATTTTATTGACTGGCTGGTTTGTGGATAGTTGTTGTGCTGTGTGAGGTTGTGCTATTGAGTAATACAGTGTAAGCGTGGAGGCAAACTGGGTAAACATTGGATGTCATAATTAGATGGAATTATTTTGGTTACATGCATCCGTGACTTCTATCATGCCTCGAACCCAGGTGCGTGCCATCATCGCCACCAGCTCTGAGTACGGTGCTGGTGCTGATTGGTGACTTCTTAGTATTAGCAGTACTAGTTTTTAAAGGCTTGATAGCACTAACAGTACTGAAATTAAGGCAATATGTGAAGGTTTATTAGGCCGAATATAATTATACCGAAATCTATTAGGCCGAATTTTACTTAAGAACTCAGAGTGTTATTTGAAATAATCTTAAACACTATGGGGTTTAAAGAATTTTTCAAGATCTCTGTTCGAGAAGGGGCATAGGCGACATCAAACAAATCTTGAACCTCGAAATATTTTCAAAATTCTTAAGTATTCCAAAATCTTATTTCAAGGAAAAACAAATTGCATGCTTGATCCTAAGTAGAAGATAACCGACTTAAAAACTATTTAAGATCATGACTTCGCATACAGAGATTTCTTTTAATTTTTTTTTAGATCCTTCCCAGGTAACAAATTGATGCATAAAAGTGTTCTTTCGACGATTTTAATTCAGTCTTTGTTTGAATTTTTTTATCTCTTTATTTGTTCCACATTCATATTATTTTAACCTTGGTGCTCCACCTACTACAGTAACATACCAGCCTTAATTGTTATGATATATATCTAAGTGTTTTTACATTGTTCCTGCCTAGGCAATCCAGTATTTTAAACAGGTTTTTTTTTTTAACCTGCATGTCAGTATAAAAAATTACATCTTAAAACTAAAAAAAAAACAAACCCTAAATCTTATCTAAATATAAAGAAAATTAATCGTTGCAATTGAGGATTGCAACGATTTTTGCCTGAAATTATTAATTATTTTGTTGGACATTTGTTCTAAAGTCTCAACATTCGAAATTCTATGTACCTCGGAGGCAACTTCAAAATCATCTTCCGAAATTTGTTCTGAATCCTTTGAAGTGCTTTTTTCCTGGTAGTGCAACAACTAGACCATATTGGCACAGCGTAAAGCATGGCCGGTCTAAAAACTTGTTTAAATATTAGAAGTTTATTCGTCAGGCAAAGTTTGGATTTCCTGTTTATAAGAGGATACAAACATTAATATATTTGTTGCATTTAGCTTGAATGCCCTCAATGTGATCTTTAAAAGTTAATTTTTGGAATTTGGAAATTGGAACTCCGGTTATAGTGACTATGTGACTACTTCTAGGTTTCAAAAACGAAGCTCTAGGCTTATGTGGAAATATTATAAGTTGAGTTTTGGAAGCGTTGGGAGAAATCTTCCATTTTTGTAAATAAGAAGAGAAAATATCTAAACTTTTCTGCAGTCTGCTGCAAATAACACGAAGACTTCTTCCTTTAGCGGAAATGCCTGTGTCATCGGCGAACAAAGATTTGTGGCAGCCCTGAGGCAAATCAGGGAGGTCCGAAGTTAAAATGTTATACAATATAGGCCCAAGAATGCTACCCTGAGGAACTCCTGCTCTAACAGGTAGTCGATTAGATTTGGAATTTTGATAATTTACCTGCAGAGTTTTGTCAGTTAAATAATTTTGAACTTATTTCATAATATAAAGTGGAAAATTAAACTTTTCAATTTAGCAATCAAACCTTCATGCCAAACACTGTCGAATGCTTTTTCTATGTCTAGAAGAGCAACTCCAGTTGAGTGGCCTTCAGATTTGTTTGAACGAATTAAATTGGTAACTCTTAAGAGTTGATGAGTAGTTGAATGCCCATGGCGAAATTCAAACTACTCATCTGCAAAAATTGAGTTTGTATTGATGTGAAGCATCATTCTATTCAAAATTATCTTTTAAAAAAAAAAAATACTTATTGAAGAAAGCAAACTAATTGGACGGTAGCTAGAAGCTTCAGCTGGATTTTTATCCGACTTCAAAATTGGAACAACTTTTGCATTTTTCCATTCATCAGGAAAGTATGCCAAATGGAAACATCTGTTAAATAATTTTACCAAGAAAGACAAGGTATCCATGATCCGCAAACACGACACCTCAGTACTGTTTTGGCCGGATTTGGTGTCGGTTCATCACTTCAAGGACACGGTAGCCTGGTATAAAGCCAACAAGGTCCAATTCGTACCCAAGGAGATCAATCCGCCAAACTGGGCCCAGGCCATGCCAATCGAAACTTTTTGGGCCCTGAGCAAAGCATATTTGCGGAAACATGTAAAAGCAGCGGATTCCGTTACAAAGTGTGCAAAAGACTGGGAAACAGTGTCCAAAATTGTTGGAAAGGCATCTGTGCTGAAGCTAATGAGTAGCGTGAGATCAAAAATCCACTCCTTGGCTTACGACTCAGCGGATCTAGAAATTTCTACGTTAAACTGTAAGAGCATTCTATGAAGAACATGAATGCGAAATAAACATCGAATTCGCTGTAAACAGAGTTACGTTATCGTTTTTTTTTTTTTAAATCGTGCTTAGACATTCTGGGACACCCTATAGTATGCATGCTCCAGCCGACACTCAAATGAATTATTTTGCTCTGGATCTCAAGCGCTGCTACTTCGACTCTCTCAATGCTGAATTTTCATCGGTTGACTAGGAACAGCTTCTTCAGGGTCAAACTGTTGACAGCCTTGTTTTTTTATTTTACGACAAGCTGTTCGAAATAGTTCACTTGAAGGTCTCTCGCCATGGCCGTGCTATCAGTGGAGCCAGCCTTGGTGGACTGCTGATTTGAGAAACATGCGCAACAAACTGAGGAAACCACGACGGTTCCTCGTCAACAAGACAAACGAAATTCGAAAATCACTTCGCCTTCGCCAGAGACTGCAATCGAATTTGAAACAAAACTCCTCCGCGTTCTGGAAGTTCGTTAAGGAGCCAGTAATCTTGTTCCGCACGATGTCAAGTCAGCTCATCTGACGAGGCTGCTTACCTTTTTCATGCTTCTTTCAAAACGTGTTACAGGATCAATTCAATTTTTCTCGTCATGAAGTGTTGAGAGCACTGGCTGAACTAGATGGGTCGAAAGGAGCTGGAGTTGATTTTTTTTTTTTTTTTTTTTTTTTTTTTTGGGATTTTAACCGTAGAGGCGGTCATTCATCCCTTATAGGCTTTATTGTACAATCCAAAGTAATAACTAATTCAATTTCATTTACAGTTGATTCAGTAGGTTGGTTGTTCTCAAAAATTTCACTAGTTTCTTCTCGTTTTCGTCTTCGTTGTTCAAAATTATACCGATAGTTGATCCTAAGCCGCATTCTCTTCGCTGATCATCGAAAGCTCTACAATCGAGCAGTATGTGAGGTACAGTCAACGGTTCCCCACATGTTGAACAAGAGTTGTTGTCACGGTTGAAAAGATGTTTATGTGTTAACCTAGTGTGTCCAATGCGCAAACGACTGATGGCTCGTCTTTCAGAAGCGTTATGCCTGTCTGGCCATTTACTCGTTGTTGCCTTTACGATCCTCAAAAATTTTGTACTATTCCACCACTGATTTTCCCATTTTTGACTAATTTCAAATTTGCAGCATCTTATTGCATCCTCACTAGGGATGCCGATGTGAAAGAATTCTTCATCTCCGTCTGCCTTTGCCAATGCGTCCGCTCTCTCATTTCCGGTTATTCCCACATGGCCAGGAATCCAGCACAGTGTGACCGTTTTCCCTTTTGCAGCCATTTCTATTTGTTGTATCCAAGTGTGATTTGATTGGCCCTTCTCTAACGCTGATAG